ATCCAGGCACAGGGAAAGAAATTAAACCCAGATGCGTAACAAGATCTTGGCTAGACATTATCCAAAGGAACTTTTCCTAACTGGTCTGGTGGAGGCAAGGGTGGCTGCAAGCCCTAAAATCTTCTCCTAAGAACTGCTTTGGATGACAGGGAGTATTTTCCAAATAAGTAACAACAATTAAAAACCATTAAGTGCCCCATAGCCTCCTGTTCCCTCTGGAGGTGGACACTGAATGATCTGCCCAGTATCAGCATTAAAGTCTATAAAACAATACAAGAGTCTCAAGTCTGGCTCAATCTAGCAGGAACACAACTGCCAGTAGCTGAGAATAAAACACAGGCCCCATCTCACTACCAGGCAGATCCTGCTCCCTGACCTCTCTCAGCCACTACTCACTTCTCAGTGAGTGGCTTCAAGTGAAGGAAAGATCGGACAATAAAGCAGAAAAGCACAGCCCCTGTGGTGCTGACAGCTGTCTCGGGTATTACTGGAGGTGTTTAAACCAGTCTGGTTCTCCAGTCATGTTACGCCAATGGCATCCACCTCACTCATCTGATCTCGTCATTCCCAACACCAAATCCTGCAGGATCCATAAAAGCAGAAAGACCTCACTGCCACATTACATGAACTGAGCAATGCCAATAAAATAATCAAGTTACATGGGAGCCATCGGAGGCTCCAGATCACAGTCATGGAAAGGGCGGTTTCTCCATGCAGGGCAGATGGGAGCAAGCAGCAACTCCAGCAGGACACAGTGTGAGAGCCAGCCAGGAAACAGGCAACCCCTTCCCAGAGGAGCTGAGAAGCAACGGAGCAGGACAGGACGAGGAATGCAAGGAAGAAGCTGCCTCCACCCACCATCGCCCAGGCCTAGGAGGCCCCTGGGATGGGCTGGTCACCCCCGAGGGGCTGAAGGCGCGTGGGCACCCCCACCCCGGGAGTTGGGGCAGGTTCGGATCTCCTCATGCCGCCTGGCTGAAACAGGGACTCCCATGGGGGAGGTCTAGCCCTAGACAGGGCAGATCGGGGTGGGTTCCATTCCCCTTCTAGCCCTGAAGACATCAGAGCCTCTCAGGGGTCCCCAAATCTCCCACCGCCCACACACAGAGAGTACAGCGGTGTGAAGAGCAGGCATGGGGCCTCCCCACGGGCTCCTGCCCGCCCGGGCACCCTCAGCCACGCCACGTC